AATATAACAGCGTCAGACGACGGATTAATCCACGGGTTATCAAAAACCATGCATAGACCTATGTCCTTCATGTTGATACCTTAGTAAATTTTTTTTTCACTTAAACAAATAATTTCTGAAACAAAATTAGGGTCACTGAAAAATATGTATACAACTTTTTAGCCTCATTTTCATGTTGAAAGCCCCATAAGAGAGGTTGGGTCTTTATTTAAAGTGGTTTTGCACTACATATTTTTTTAATCAATGACCAAGATGGATTCTTCATTGCTGTATGAAGAACTTGTGTGATAAAGATGCTGTTATTCGACTACAATGTTGCTGGTACCATGTTAAGGATTTTGACTGGTTTCTTGTAGATTCTTGGAGAATCAACAAGAAACTTCTATGTAAACTGCTTCTGACTGACGTGATGCAAATTCTTTGTTTTTGACTGTGTTGTATGATATTGGAAGTTTGGGACGAATACAAACGTCGCTGTTTGAAACAAATGTCGAGGAATACTTACCAAATAAAGATAATCCAACAATATTGGGATTAATGGAATGTAGTTTGTCAAGAAATGAATTTAGCTCATCAATTGTAGGCTTTACACAATCTGAGTTCGTTTTTTCTGAAAACTTTTTCTTCGCTTTGGAACTATATATATTTATATTTGCTACAGGTGAAGCTAATACGTTCTAATTGAAACTTTGGTTCCATTCACAAGGAAGGTCAGTAGGTGTGCACTGTGTCATTCCGATTCAAACAGCAGCTTCAATTTTATACAGGGTGGCAGCAAAATGTGAGCAAGTTTCACCAAGGCCTAAAATTTGTATAAATTAATTAATTATAACAGCATATTGTTAATTTGATTAATTCGGCATTATTAACAAAAGTATACAATTGGAAAAAAAGCAAATATTTCTTATTGTGATTTCTTTTATATATATATATATATATATATATATATATATATATATATATATATATATATATATATATATATATATATATATATATATATATATATATATATATATATATATATTTATATATATATATATATATATTTATTATTATTATTATTATTATTATTGTTATTATTATTATTATATAATATTTTCATTTATATAATGAAGTATTAAAAAATATAATAAATATAAAAATTTATTATTTATCTAAGTAAGCAGTTATCCAGCCATACAATCACCATGCGCAGCTAAAACATTTCCATCTTCATTTAATGCAATCCAAGGATGATGTGAATTTTCTTAAGTCCTATAAGATGGTCTAACTTGGCATTTCATAATAACCACTTTATTAGGAAGGATCACGAGTTCAATGGTTTGTACCCAACTACATATAAAGATATTATGAGCTTCTAATGATTTATATTTTTCCATAGCCTCTGAACTAAACACACCTTTAACAAACGAGGTATATTAAAGAAGTGACGCAAAACGTTATTTATAAATTTAATTTTTGTTTTATTTAATAAATTTTAACAGTAAATTTTTTAATTTTAAAATTTGCTCCATCATTTGAATATTTGTAGTTATCGTCAAAAAAATTAAACCTAATATTAAACTTCTAGATAAACGAAATAAATATTTGTGATGTTATCTTCAAAACAACAAATACAACTTAAGTATTATTTGTTGTTGTAACCAACTTACTATGGGTCTTTATTAGGTAATTATAAAGCTTAGGATAGTTTAATGAAGGTCATTTAGTTGGATCATCTTTCCATGAGTCTGCAGAAAACTTATAAAGACACTTTTCAATACCTTAAAAATTATTTCTGAATACAATAAAGAAAAAGAATGGAACAATATTTAAAAAAATATATTATAAACAGCATTTTAAAAAAAGGAAAAAAAACAATTTTTTTTTTTTTCGACTTTTAGAAATTCAAAATTTCCTTTTTTTTTTCGATTTTTAGAAATTAATATTTAATATTCAATATTAATTATTATTAGTAATATTATATCGCTAAACTTTAAAAAAAATATTAGATAAAGGTATAATTAAATACTTAATTTATTAATCCTATTAAATATTAGACAAAAAACATACACACATAAATATCATGTGAGTATTTTTTGAAAATAATGTACAGTTTTCAGAAATCATTTCAGAATTTTTCTCATTTTTGAGAAATGAGAAAAATTCTAACCTATAGCTGATAATTTTGATCAAATAAATAAAAAAATATACATATATACACTTACTAAAGCGTGTTTTGATAAGCATTTGCTCACTTTTTCTACTTACCTTAAGCTATTTCGTTTTTTGCGAAAAAGAAGAAGAATAAACGAAGAATGATGAATGATTCCCCATTCCAAACCCTCAGTCAATGTAGCAGCACTCCACTGCGGGTCAGGCTATTTGTCAGTCGATGTATGTACTGACGCCCCCAGCTGCAGGCTATTTCAGTATGACGTCAGATTGCTTACCTTAGTATGAAATACTATTTGTATACATATATATATTTACACAATTCTAGCTGCTCAAATAAACAGTTAATAGGAATTTTTTGAAAAACTTAATAGGACTGAAATCTATAATAATAGGACTTAAATCCTATTAATACGAGTTAATAGGACTGAAATCCTATTAACTCGTATTTATAGGATTTTAGTAAGTTTTGAGCATTGAACGGAGCATACGTAATTAGGAAGAAAGTTAAAGATATTTTTTATATAATTGACGACTTGTATTTTTTGATTTTTGTAATGGAGAATGAAAGAGTAGTTACTATAGGAATGCTAAGGGAGTTGATGTCAATTCAATCTGACACAATTTTAAAGTGTTTTAATGAAACTTTCAGATGCTTTCAAGAAAAAGTCGATAACTTAGAAAAAGATGTTGAAGACCTTAAACGTGGTCTAAATTTTAACAGTGATCAACTTGAGACAAAGATAAGTATAGTTGACAAAAAAAATGGACGAAATTAAAACTTCGTTAATTGGAATAAAATCATTTCAAAGCAAATTAGTCAGCGAATCGACCGAGAATAAAAGAAAAACAGTCTACCTGGAATATACACAATATTTCTATAAATTTTAACAAAAAATACTAGAATTCCGACCAAGAAAGAGCTTTTAATTATGGAAAATTGCCAATTAACGACCAGAACAAATTATATTGTTAAACTATAATGTTCATTTTACCTAAAAAAACGTATTAATTTGAAATCTTATTCAAATTTGGACGAGCGATTGTGATTTTAGGATGATTTAAAAAAAAAAAAAAAAAAAAGAATTTTCGGTCTGGGTTTTTTCGCTACAAATATTTATATTTTATTATACTGCAAAATATATCACTTAAATCTATTCATAATTTACAGACCTGATCATTTAACGGAAATATGTCGTAGTCAACAAAATATCTTACAGACCCTATAATATTTTCTAAGAGTGCCTTTACTACACCGAGCATCCGTCACTAGGAATAAATATAAGTTCTTGGTACTAAGTTCTTGGTAACAAAATGTAACTAAATATAGATGTATATTTAAAATTAATTTCTTGCTTTAGATAATATTTAAAATAAATAAAAAACCGTATATAGAAACTAAAAAAAAAGTTAAAGTTGACATACCCTAATAACCCTGACAATCATATAAATATTCTTTAAAATCCGGAAAATTCTAAGTTATATACTCGGGCAAATAAGCAAAAATAAAAAAAAGTAATGTGTGTTAAAAATATATATAAAAAGTAATAAAATTGTACATTGTATTGATGTCAATTCCTATTGATGTCAAATGCGAAATTTGCCATTTGACACCAGCTGTCAAATGGTAGATGGTGAGAACAAGAGCGAAATTAGGTGTCAAATGCGGCATTAGATATTTGGCATTCAACATCTGATCTTGTTCTTTCCATCTAGCATTTGACTGCTGTTTTTGTCCTCGTCACTGGGAATTTAAACTACACCCCTTATAAAAAAATGTGTGAGGTGTATTCTGTTATGTGCTACCCGCTTGCAATGAAACACTCAGAGAAGATCTCCCCTTGACATTTGACATCTTATTATGTTTGCATACCTATAATGACTATAGTAGATGTAGAAATAAATCTGTGACGATATAACCTGAAGATTAAAGCTTATTTTGTCTATAAAATAGCAGTTTTTCAAAATTAATGATACATAATTGTGCAAGCAAAGATATTAAAATGCGAATATAAAATAAAAAATTAATTAAACTTCATAAAATAGTACAATAATAACCAAAGTTTAAGAGCAAAATCCTGGTCAGAACTCGGCACCTCCGGACCGTTTTCGAGACATACTCGAGGGGGAAACCAATTGCTGTTCTTTTTTTAGAAAAAATGAGCAGTAGTTGGTTGTCTCTGTCAAATAGGCCTCGGAAAAGGTCTGAGAGGTTGCCTAGTCATGATCAGGATTTTGCATGTTGCATAGATATTAAAACGCCAATTTAAATAAAAAAATACCAAAATTTCATAAAATAGCACAATAATAACTATAAATTTAAGAGCAAACACCTGCCTGCAAAATTCAGGTCAGAACTTGACACGCCCGGACCATTTTTTGGACCTGCCCAAGGGGAGCAATCAACCACTGTTCCTTGTTTAAAAAAAATGAATAGTGGTTTGTTGCCTCTCTCAAACAAGTCTTGAAAAGGGTCTGGGGAGTGCCAAGTGATGATTAGAATTTTGCAGGCTGCAAAGATATTAAAATGCAAATATGTAACAAAAAATTAACCAAATTCCATAAAATAGCACAATAATAACCAAAATTTAAAGAGCAAACAAAACAGCATGCAAAATCTAGGTGAGAGCTCGACACTCCTGGGCATTTTTTGGGACCAGCCCGAGAGTGGCAACTGACCACTGTTCTTTTTTTTAAAAAAAAAAGAACAGTGGTTGGTTGCCACTATCAAACAGGCCTCAGGAAGGGTCCGGGAAGCGCCAAGTTACAACCAGGATTTTACAGGCTGCACACAGTACAACTAGTTCAAAAAACATTCAAAAATAACATCAAAGAACAATAATTTATACTGCTGTTGCTTTTAAAAGAGGTGGTTGCAGGTTAACAATGGCAGCAGCAATTATCCATATATCATCGATTAGAGGGACTAATGTGATAGGCAGAGTGTTCTTTAGAAGTCGAAATTCTTTCAGCCTTCCAATGACACGTTCAATGTGTATTCTTGCACGTGCTATGCGCTTGCAATGATAAACTTCAGAGGGTGTAAACTGTCGGATACTACGTAAAAATGGTGGAATTACAGCTTTTACCTGCCTTGATAGAAATAAATCTTGAACATTGAAACCTTTATCAAAAAGTACAACAAAACCAGGAGTGAATCTTCTTGCAACATTGCAATCTTCAGTGATAAAACGATCTGAGGAAGATCCAGAGTAACCTTTAGAAACAAAAGAGATAGAACCACCTTTAGTACAAAATATAAGTTTTTTTAATGTCTTTCTACTTTTATAAGAACTATCTGTTTGATATTTAGCTTTAGCATTAGCAGATTTTTGAATAGTTTGTTCAGTACAGTCGCCAATACCTTCAACATAAACGAAATCTCCAATAAAATGAGGATGTGTAAAACTTAATGTTTCTTCTGGAGCAGGCCAATAAATTAATGGTTCAAGTTCTCGGGCTAATAAAGTTATAAATGTAGTTAAAATCCTAGACACATGACTTACTGAAATTTTAAAACAAAATGCTAAATCTTGTAATGGTGAGTCAAGTCGAATACGCATTATAGTAAGTAACACTTCATCTTCAACAAAAAGCTGTCGTGCTGGACCAGGTTTCCCTGTACTTGAAGGTTTACTAGCAGGACTAAACTGATATTCTTTTGGTTTAAATGAACGTTTATAATCCATAAAATAAGAAACTTTTTTATTTTTAGCTTGAACACGACTAACAATATATAAAAAAACATTATTAGTGGGACACCCAGTATACAACTTTATGACTTTGGGTAAAAAACGCACTGTCTCCCATGTTAATCTTTTATGACTACTTTGTTTATAAAGTGTTGTTGGTGTTAGATAAGTTGCTGGTGTGTTAGTAATTAAATCGATTTGTTGTGAAGAAAGTTGTTGATTAGATGCTGTTGATGATAGACATGGAGGAGATATTGACAGAGAAGACTGTTGGGGAATATTGTCATTATTGATACTGCTACTAGTAGTGGAACAGTTACTTGAAAAAAGTGTATTTTAATATTTTATAGAAACTTTAGTAAGTGTATATCGAGGCATTGGTAATTTTATTTTATTTTGAGGCGAAGATATTACGTATCCCTTCAAATATAACTTTGGGTGAAGGGATAGCTCAGTTGGCTTCTGTAATAGAATATCACCGCACCTTAGAACATCACCGCACCAGTAGAAAAAACGAAAACGAGAATGCGATTTGAAGTAATAGAACTTAGTAGAGTACCAAGTACGTCCTAATAATACAAGAACGTCGAAAAAATGTTGTTTTTTAACAAACAATATCTAGTATATTGGTTTTTTAACAAAATACATGGGTGATGTGATATTCTAAACATATAATACTGTATTTCTAAGTTTTTTGAAGGTGATGTGATATTCTAAAATTCTAAGCACTATCTAGTAAGTTGTTTGATAACAAAATACATGGGTGATGTAATATTCTAAACATGTAATAGTGTACTTTTTAGTTTAATTAAGGTGATGTGATATTCTAACATTCTAAGCACTATCCAGTATGTTGTTTTTTAACAAAATACATTGGTGATGTAATATTATAAACTTCAAATAGTGTATATTTTAATTTTTTAAAGGTGATGTGATATTCTAACCTTCTTAACGCTATATAGATTGTTGTTTTTTAATTAACTACATGGGTGATGTAATATTCTAAACTTCAAATAGTGTATATTTTAATTTTTTGAAGGTAATGTGATATTCTAACCTTCTTAACACTATATAGATTGTTTTTTTTAATTAACTACATGGGTGATGTAATATTCTAAACTTCAAATAGTGTATATTTTAATTTTTTGAAGGTGATGCGATATTTTAACATTCTAAGCACTATCTAGTAAGTTGTTTAATAACAAAATACATGGGTGATGTAATATTCTAAACATGTAATAGTGTATTTTTTAGTTTAATTAAGGTAATGTGATATTCTAACATTTTAAGCACTATCTAGTAAGTTGTTTAATAACAAAATACATTGGTGATGTAATATTCTAAACATGTAATAGTGTATTTTTTAGTTTAATTAAGGTGATGTAATATTCTAACATTATAAGAACTATCTAGTAAGTTGTTTAATAACAAAATACATGGGTGATGTAATATTCTAAACATGTAATAGTGTATTTTTTAGTTTAATTAAGGTGATGTGATATTCTAACATTCTAAGCACTATCAAGTATGTTGTTTTTTAACAAAATACATTGGTGAGGTAATATTCTAAACTTCAAATAGTGTATATTTTAATTTTTTGAAATTGATGTGATATTCTAACATTCTAAACACTATCTAGTAAGTTGTTTAATAACAAAATGCATGGGTGATGTAATATTTTAAACATGTAATAGTGTATTTCTTAGTTTAATTAAGGTGATGTGATATTCTAACATTCTAAGCACTATCTAGTAAGTTGTTTAATAACAAAATACATGGGTGATGTAATATTCTAAACATGTAATTGTGTATTTTTTAGTTTAATTAAGGTGATGTGATATTCTAACATTCTAAGCGCTCTCCAGTATGTTGTTTTTTAACAAAAATCATTGGTGTTGTAATATTCTAAACATGTAATAGTGTATTTTTTTGGTTAATTAAGGTGATGTGATATTCTAACATTCTAAGCGCTATCCAGTATGTTGTTTTTTAACAAAATACATTGGTGATGTAATATTCTAAACTTCAAATAGTGTATATTTTAATTTTTTGAAGGTGATGTGATATTCTAACCTTCTTAACACTATATAGATTGTTGTTTTTTAATTAACTACATGGGTGATGTGATATTCTAAACAAATAATAGTATATTTCTAATTTTATTAAAGCAATTTGATATTTTAACATTCTAATCTCTATATAGTTTGTTGTTTTTAAACAAAATACATGGGCGATGTTATATTCTTAACATATGATAGTATATTTCTAAATTTTATTAAGGGGATGTGATATTCTAACATTCTAAGAACTATCTAGTAAGTTGCTTGATAACAAAATACATTGGCGATGTAATATTCTAAACATGTAATAGTGTATTTTTTAGTTTTATTAAGGTGACGTGATATTCTAACATTATAAGCACTATCCAGTATGTTGTTTTTTAACAAAGTACACGGGCGATGTGATTTTCTAAACATATAATACCGGTTGCATGCCTTATATTTCTTAATTTCTTTAAGGCAATGTGATATCCTAAGGTTCTAAGCATCAAATACAAATAATTTTTATAACATTAATGTACAATATACATAGGAGATGTGATATTCAATATATTCGTTTCTTATAGTGTGTAATATATTTCCTAATTATAATAAGGAAATGTCATATTCATAGTTTTTAAACTAAAAGTGCAACTAATTAGTATGATATTTATAAACAAAGTACATGGGGGATGTGATATTGTAAACATGCAGTGATAGTTAGTGATATATTTCTTAATTAATTTGCTAGATGTGATATTTTAAGGTTCATAGCAGAAAATACAACTAATTTTTATGACATATATAAACAATATACATTGGGGAGGGGGGGGGAAGGTGATATTTTAAGTATTATAAAACTGTTAGTTGACAATAGATTTCTTATATACATCTAAGATTCAAAGCAGCAAATAAGACTAACTATGAAATTTTAAAACAATATACATTGGAATTGTGATAATTCATATATATAACATATATAATACTGGTAGTACATAGGGGGTATGACATTCTAAACATATTGATAGTTTGTGGTATAATTCTTAGTTACACTAAGGGAGTGTAATATTCTAAGCAGCAAATTTGACTAACTATGACATAAACAATATACATAGGAAATGTGTGTCTAATCATAATACTATAATATGCGTTATATTTTTTAATTTTATTAGAGAAGATTTTTTAATTTTATTAGAGAGAAGATTTATTAGGATAGTATTCTAAAATGCTCCTCTAAGAGATTTATTAGAATAATATTCTTTTTCTAGGTTTCTTCTTGTTGTCCCAGGCCACTATCATTATGTTTTGTTGCATGTTATCGGACTTGTATGGTAACTACTTTTGAAGCCTTTCTGACTGAACAATACCCAGCTGTTTGTCATCAATGCCATCTATATCATGTGATGTAACACTGACTGCTATCACTTTAAAAAAAAAGTTAGTTAAAGTCTTCTTCAATCTGTTTCACTTGTAAGATAATCTGTATATATTTTCCATTAAAATAAATACAGAATATCTTACCTTTAAGAATATTTATAATTTTTGCCTGATGTTTCTTTAAGTATCCCAATCTTCAATTGTAGATTGCAGCTACTAATGAAGTGTGTAGGCGAATACCTATACTATATCAAGCAGAAACCAAAGCAGTACAACGAGCACTTATTTTTTCAGCACTTATGTTTGTCATTATCTTATCCATCCTCCTAAACCAAAAATGTTTCTTCTTATCCAAATATTCTCCATCCTCCTAAACCAAATATGTTTGTTCTCTACTGATTTCTAGAATGATTGCTTCTGTAATATACATGTTTCTTTACTATTATACATGTTTCTTTAGTTTCTGGTCAAGGTAGAACTTATTATTCTCCACTTTGACATTCTGTTCAAAAAACAAAAGTGTTCTCCATAAGTTTCTTTAATTTTTACTAAACTGTTTAATAAGTGCTTGACTGAATCTAAATCTTGACACCTGTCCCCTCTAACTGCTATCCAGTCAGTCTTCACTCTATTATAAACAAAGTCTTTGATAATTGATAAAAAATTTCTAACATTCCAACTTGAGTCTAATATTTTACTCCCTGGCAATCATTATGGTTTTTGAACTTCTTGTTTTAAGGCCGACTTGCTAACTGTAATGGCATGCTGGTCTTCTCCATAAGCTTGCTTCATGTGACGTATCTGAGAAAGGTTTTGAGGTTATCAAATTATTTCTTTGTAATTGTTTTATTAATGTCATCCTCAAAGGTTAACACTCTTCTTCGTTTCCAGTACCTTCTGGAGTACCTGAAATGGTTATACTTGGTCCTGTGTTATTTTTTATCTACATTAATGATCTTCCTGACAATCTTACAAATAAAGTGGCTCTATTTGTTGATAAATAAACTTTATACCCCTGTCTAAATAAAAAAATTATCTCACTTTTGTAACAGTTTGGGGCTTGTAGTGCCTTTTGATTTTTAACTTCGACAAAACTCAGTTGCTTACTTCAACCTAACTCCAATTGTGGTAAAGTTGCATCTCCTTCTATTTTCTACAAATGGTTGCTGCTCAAAGGAGCTATCATCTCTAGTTCCATTAGCCAAAACTCATTCTCAATTGAATCGTCATTCAGCAAAGTCGCATTTTACTGTATCTGTTCCTGCATGCTCTAAAAATTATATAAACTATTTGTTTATTTGTTTTCTTTGGACTGTATTTATCACAGTCTAATTATTTAAAAAATTGATTATACATTCTGTATTTTATTGAAGTATATCTTTTATTTAGATTTAGTACGAATCAGCAGTGAACTTATAAAGAAATTATCAAACAAGTTGGAAGACTGAAAACTTTGATACACTCAAAAAGTCACTTTTTAAGTTTAATTATTTCTTTTCGAAATTGAATATACAATCAATACCAAATTAGAGTCACAAAGTAAATTTAACTTTCTTAAAGCAATATTTTAGATTAGAAGAAAACTTGTGATTGTTGTGTTGTTTCTTCTTCTTATAAATTAACCTTATTATTTAGCAATTAAATTTTCTTTTTAATTTATAATGTATTTTAAAAGAAAAATTTGAAAGAAAAAATGTTGTATTTTATAATATTAAAAAAAAGAAGAACAGGCTAAAACATTTCTATATTATCTAACTTGTTTTTTTATTATTATTTTGCTTGCATCGCTTGTTATGAATTAGGAAGTATTAATCAAGGAAGAAGAGTATATAATACTTTTTGTAACATCATAAGTATACTTTTTGAAATATTAAGTGAAACTGAGCTTCATAAATATAAAGACTGTTCTCCTCTCATTTCGGTTTTATAAACTTATTGCTCAGGATAACTAATTAGACGCTGATATAAAAGGAATTAATGCGAATAAAATCAGCATGCAAAAACCTATTGTTTTATATTTTTTCTATTATTGTAAATGCTTACTCGACAGTTTCATTAGGTTTTTTTAAAATTATTTTCGTAAATCGACTTTTAGCTTGAAATCTAAATCTGCCTAATCAAAGGCGCCAAAAAAATTAGGCCATCTTTTTTTTTGAG